AATAACAGTAATATTTGATAACATGTTTACTGTACATCACACAGTTTGTGTTGTAGAGATTTGATACGTACACAGTAACAGTGATATTTAATGACATGTTTACTGTACATCACACACTTTGTTTTGTAGAGATTTGATACGTACACAGTAACAGTGATATTTAATAACATGTTTACTGTACATCACACAGTTTGTTTTGTAGAGATTTGATATGTACACAGTAACAGTGATATTTAATAACATGTATACTGTACATTAAACAGTTTGTTTTGTAGAGATTTGATACGTACACAATAACAGTAATATTTAATAACATGTTTACTGTACATCACACAGTTTGTTTTGTAGAGATTTGATACATACACAGTAACAGTGATATTTAATAACATGTTTCTTGTGTTAAATGTGTATTGATTTTGATGATGTGAAATTATATTTATAACAGATTTAGTTTGTGTAAGAAAAGTGAAAATTTTTATGTACAAGTGATCTTAGAATGTGACAATATATGTGATCAGCATTATTGTTTCAAATTATAAATTCAGTTGCTGTTGTATCTTTATGTTGTTACTGTGTATATATATCGGTAGTTGTTTACTAAAGTTTGTATTCTAGATAATCACTTCTTTTAAACACATTGTTCATTAGTTATATTACATTAACAGCGCCCCCCAACTTTTATGAAGAAAAAAGTTAAAATTAGATGGCTAACAAGTTCAAATTATGCACCATAAAATTATTAGTTATGTATAAAATATAAAAAACCTTATCACTTATGCTGAAAAATTTTAAATTATGCAACCCTTACCTAAACTAAAAACAGCTTAAGTCAGTGATATTTTTTTAGAAGTTATTTGACAGGTTATTAATCAGACTGTCTGGAACCACTTGCCAACAGAAATGAAAAAACTAATTCAAAATTGATAAATCTGGTAATACTGAAATAGAAGTGAGACTTTTATTATGTAGTCAGTCCCTAACTATGCAGGAATTTATGTGGTCGAGTAAATACATTAAAATTGGAGCCCTGGAAATGATGAAAATTTCACTAATGTAACTTATTTAAGGAAATTCCTTGTCTCACTTTGACATCTTCATTTGATTGTGACTTAGAGTGATTGATAAATTCTTAGTCTCATTTTGATTTTAAGACTTTTATTTTTGTTTCTGTTATCCACACAAACATGCAGCAAGGGGTGGGGCAAATGACGTGTAAGTAGAGTTTTATTTGGCCATATGATTAGAGTAGTAAGCATTGGCAGAACCTTGAATTCAGAGACTTAAAATATTTAGAAAGAGTTCGTTTTGGGATTAGTAAAGCTTGATATTAGTAGTAAAAGTGTACCATTTCATAAATTATGTTCTGTTATAAATTGGGCAGTTCAGAATGGCTCTAGAATAGTTTTTGATGTAGAGACAGTTAACCTTTAATATAGGAATGTTTACATCAGTAGTTTGATATAGTTGTTGTTTTCAGTGTACTTAATGTTCTGTGATTATTAGTTAAGTAGTTCTGATTCAAGGAAAATGTTTAAATAGTTGGTAGCGTTTGTTTTCATGGTAAACTGAGTTTAGTATTCCAAGTATAAAAGTCAAACCTTCAGTTATTTCTTGCACAGCATGCTAGATATAATACAAATCAAAGAACACCATTATGGCCTGCCCATTAATCACATATATCAGTTTAAATTAATTTACAAAAAGTTTGAAAATGTTTAGTGTACTGCTGCTTGTTTGTGTTGTTGCTTTATTTTTTTAGTATCCGAGTTTTACAAACACAAGAACACAATTGTCACATTTAAGATATTTGAGGGATTCTTATAACTTGGTTGACAAGTTCTCTGGTATGTTTTGCAGTAAACAATCCAAAGAAATGCCGGGCTAGGTTTGGACTAGATCAGCAAAGCAGTTGGTGCAAGCCTTGTAGGTAAGTGTTGAGTAAATAACAACCTCGGTTTGTAAGGAACTTCTCCTGCCTTCTGTCTTGAGTGGAACATTTCATTTCAAATTTCAACCCTACAAATGTATATAGTACATAAAATACCAAAAACACATCCACACCTTAAATAATTATTTTGTAAATTTAGTTGATAGCTAATAAGTCCCCTACTCTGGTTGGATATTTGACTTTATGTAAATACTGTGGTATTCATTTAAGTATATTAATAACTTGGGTGGTGGTTTCAGATTATATCATGTCTGTATTTTAATATTTCTAGCTACTTAGTAAACACTATCTAGCAACAATTTGTACTTTCTTCAAAACTTGTACTTAGGCACACTGCTAGTGCTTCTGAGAAGATCATTCTTATATGAGAATTGATAAAGTTTAGTTGATAAAACAATCACAGGACTGAGTCAGTAACAGTGTATGTTGAAATTGTTTTCTTCTGTTTTTAGTAAATTTCTTGTATCTTAGTGGTAATGAGAATATAGCTGTGAATATATTTGTTAATAAAAAACATTAGGTCACTGAACATGAATAATCTTTTAAAAGATGCTCCCATAAACATTTAAACTGGGTGTATAATTTATATAGAGTAAAGTTTAATATTAAACTTGTTACCTGTTCTAATGTTTAGTAGTAAAACTCGTTACCTGTTCTAATGCTTAGTAGTAAAACACGTTACCTGTTCTAATGCTTAGTAGTAAAACACGTTACCTGTTCTAATGTTTAGTAGTAAAACTCGTTACCTGTTTTAATGTTTAGTAGTAAAACTCGTTACCTGTTTTAATGTTTAGTAGTAAAACTCGTTACCTGTTCTAATGCTTAGTAGTAAAACTCATTACATGTTCTAATGTTTAGTAGTAAAACTCATTACCTGTTCTAATGCTTAGTAGTAAAACACGTTACCTGTTCTAATGTTTAGTAGTAAAACACGTTACCTGTTCTAATGCTTAGTAGTAAAACACGTTACCTGTTCTAATGCTTAGTAGTAAAACTCGTTACCTGTTTTAATGTTTAGTAGTAAAACACGTTACCTGTTTTAATGTTTAGTAGTAAAACTCGTTACCTGTTCTAATGTTTAGTAGTAAAACACATTACCTGTTCTAATGCTTAGTAGTAAAACTCGTTACCTGTTCTAATTTTTAATATTAAACTCGTTACCTATTCTAATGTTTAATATTAAACTCGTTACCTGTTCTAATGTTTAATATTAAACTCGTTACATGTTCTAATGTTTAATATTAAACTTGTTACCTATTCTAATGTTTAATATTAAACTCGTTACCTATTCTAATGTTTAATATTAAACTTGTTACCTATTCTAATGTTTAGTAGTAAAACACGTTACCTATGCTAATGTTTAGTAGTAAAACTTGTTATCTGTTTTAATGTTTAGTAGTAAAACTCGTTACCTGGTCTAATGTTTAATATTAAACTCGTTACCTGTTCTAGTGCTTAGTAGTAAAACTCGTTACCTGTTCTAATGCTTAGTAGTAAAACTCGTTACCTGTTCTAATGTTTAATATTAAACTCGTTACCTGTTCTAATGTTTAATATTAAACTCGTTACCTGTTCTAATGTTTAATATTAAACTCGTTACCTGTTCTAATGCTTAGCAGTAAAACTCGTTACCTGTTCTAATGTTTACGAGTTTAATATTAAACATTAGCATAGGTAACACGTTTTACTACTAAACATTAGAACATGTAATGAGTTTAATACTAAGCATTAGAACAGGTAACGAGTTTTACTACTCTAATGTTTAATATTAAACTCGTTACCTATTCTAATGTTTAATATTAAACTCGTTACCTGTTCTAATGTTTAATATTAAACTCGTTACCTGTTCTAAAGTTTAATATTAAACTCGTTACCTATTCTAATGTTTAATATTAAACTCGTTACCTATTCTAATGTTTAATATTAAACTCGTTACCTATTCTAATGTTTAGTAGTAAAACACGTTACCTATGCTAATGTTTAGTAGTAAAACTTGTTATCTGTTTTAATGTTTAGTAGTAAAACTCGTTACCTGGTCTAATGTTTAATATTAAACTCGTTACCTGTTCTAGTGCTTAGTAGTAAAACTCGTTACCTGTTCTAGTGCTTAGTAGTAAAACTCGTTACCTGTTCTAATGTTTAATATTAAACTTGTTACCTGTTTATTGTTTAATATTAAACTCGTTACATGTTCTAATCTTTGTTTAGGAGGAAAAAGAAGTGTATTCGGTATTTGGAGGGTGCAGATAACGGGGAAAGTGAGGACAATTTAGGTAGTATTGGTAGTGTAGATGCTCCAACACCCGACTCCAAAAGTGACGACGAGAGTGATCTAGAAGGCAACTCCCTGAACACTTCTGAACTTAGTCTCTCCAGTCCTCCAGTTCCTAATGACAGTGATGTAAAGCAAGAACTGAGTGAAAATGGAGTTCTAAGTAATTTTTCTCATCCTTCGTGTTCCACTCTAGGCCCTCAAAGAAGCAGTCACCCATTTAGCATTCAGCACCTAACGGCTCCACACTGTAACAGCTCCAGTGTAGTCTCTCGTAAAAACTGTGACAGTAAATCATCAAACATCCCCATTCCTCAACTACCAACTCCTCCCTCTACGGATTCATCCACAGCAACAGTCCCACAGCTGTTGACTGTCACATAGCTTCAGTCCTCTTAAGAAAAGGCTTAAGAAGGAACTGTTTGAGAAAGATGAACGGACAATATATGTATGTAGATAATGAATTTTTCTTATAGTGGCTGTTCATTAATTCTGTTGTTGCTAGAACTTTTTGTTGTTGTTGTTTTTTCTATTACTATGGTGCTGTCTTGAAGCAAAGCAAAATTGCTGTGAAGTTTGAAAATGATTTTGTAACAAGGTTCATTGAGATATATATGACAATCAGTTGTTGAAATTGTGTTCAGTTTGAATGAGAAATTTATGTTTTAAATGTTAGACTAAGTACAGATTGTCTACACCGTCACTCGTTAGAAAGTAACAGAAATTATTTTTGAATGTTTGTAGCACAGTTGATAGCTAACTTGACTCTTGGTCTTTCTAGAAATTTGTGTTACTGTTTCTGTCCTCTTTCCACAATGAACATAACCACCGAATATCTTTACAGTGCTGCTCTCGTTGTTAAATAACATCATTTTTCTTATCACTAAGGTGAGCAATATGTGTGTATTTTAAAATGTAAGAATGAAGTTTTCCACATTGTTTCTTTTTTTTAATTCTCAAGTTTTTTGATACAGTTTTAGCAATTGTTACTGTTCAAATTAAACGTACTTTTCTGGATGGAGACTGTATGTCATTGAATTCAGTGATACCTTGATCTTTGTTTAGGCCTCTATCCAAGTTGATTTCCAGTGCCCTGTCTTATCAAAGTATTTGGATGTCTTCCTGCATGAAATGAGCATATTTAATAACTGCAGATGTCTAAGCATAACACATTCTGTATACTTTATTTTGTTTAATGTTGTTTTTAACTCCCCAGTGTCTTCCACCCACATAAACATCATGTACCCTAACAGCCTTCTTATTTTATACAGTATTCAGTGTAGTTTTCTACTTAATCCTTTGACATAGTAACAACAGCTGATATTTTCTTGGATTACTAGTAAACTGTTTATAGGCACAATTAATACCTCATACCTTGATAGTTTTATGTCCAATATTTCTGTGATTTACCTGGCTCTATTCAGAATCAAATTATGTCCTGTGTTAGTTGGGTAGCAATCAGAAGATCATATATGACAGACATAGAGACAGTTAAAATCAGTAGAAGAAACTTTCACTGCTAATTTATATTGAACTAGAAATATAAAAACAACAGTAAGGACAGAAAATATTCAAAAGAAAAACATTGAAGTAAGAAGGCTTGTAATCCACGAACAAATGAGGTGACAGGCTGTGTAAAATATCAGAATAGCTGTCAAAACACTGGAACATCCTGAGTCATGTAATCAATAAAAAAAAGAACAAATTTAGTTACATAATAACATTTACAAGTGGGTTGGAGTAAACAAAACCTACACTAGAACAGGATTGTAAAATACTTTTTATAGGACAGTACTTAAATACATGGACAAGATGGTGGCTACCAGGAGAGGAGCACGGAGAAATCAGTTTTGACATATATGGACAAGATGGTGGCTACCAGGAGAGGAGCACGGAGAAATCAGCTTTGACTGAAACACCTGAAAGAGGCACTAATAAAGGCTTAAAAAAAAGATCATGGTAGCATTACACATAATCCACACATATGTGCTTAGAAACTATTTGTTTTTTGTATTTCACCTCTGAACCCTCATCAGATGGCAACAGAGTCAATCTTAAGATAAATATTGTTTTAATGTTATTGCCCCATGTTCATAGTATTGTTGTAATGGTAGCAGTTGTTGCATGTTTAATGTCATATCTAATTTCTTTTACAAATTTTAATATTTTAAATTGATCATCAATTAGTCCCAAAATAAAAACATCTGATAATGTTTTCTGACCTTACAGACAAATGTCAGTGAATTACATAACTGAAAGTGTGGAGTAAAAAGTCTTGTTTTTGTGTGTTAAGTATATATATAGTATCAAGTTCATCACTTCTCTGTGTATTCTTTTCTCTGCCAATGTGTATCTTGTGTTCTGTTATAAATACTTGCTTTAACAGTTTCAGCATTTTTACAGACTGAAGCAAAGGGTTTTATACTTTCTGGTTTCATTCAGTATTTACATTTTGATGTAAAGAGCTACCTCACCCATTTATTTTTTATTGTATCTTAAAAGTCTGGTGATTTAAATTTTTGATTTTAATACTTTTAGTTTAAATCTGTCTCAAGAGTATATCTTGAGATACCAGATAAAGTTACATAGAAGTTAATGGTTTTTGTGACATTAACTTTCATTGTAAAAACTACGTTACTCCTTCCATCACAGTTTGAATGGCCCCCCACACATCAGTGATAGGTGAAAAATCAGAACAGTGTCGTGTATTGCAGTCTAATTTTGTTCATTACAATTAGCACTAAAGTATTTCTACATTTTTTAACTTCAAGTTCAAATATCAATTTTATTAAATTTTAAAAATCATTATTTTAAAACATAGAATGAATCTGTAGTTCATTACCATACCACAGTGTTTATTTAAGTTGTTTTTAATCAAACAGAAGAAAGACGTACATATTTAGTACTTGCATTTAATGTTGCACCTGAATATGCCAATTTTTTCTTAATAGACAAAATCGAATAAACCTAAAAATTAAGGTAATAATGCTGTTGTTTTTGGACATAATAAGAAATAAGTTTTCTATCTTAATACAAGAGTCGTTGACTAGGATTTTTTTTTTTTTTATTCATTCATGAAATTAAGTTAGTTTTAAAAATGCACATCACTTGTTTTTTACAGTTACTCAAAAATGTTTAGGTACTTTAATGTTAAGCTGGAGCTAAAAGCTTCCACATCTGCATTGTAATAGATTTTTATAATAGATTTTTGGTAATTATATTAGTATGTGTTTGAAAGGTAAAGTTGAGTAAAGCTGTTTGACACATTTCACAGTGGAGTGTATATTTTGTCAGTTGATGGCTAGATGAAGAGGCAAGCTTGTTGTTGAGAAGCCAAAACATCAGTTTAATGTGCTGTTACTTTCACTTGTTTGGAATGATTTAGTCCAGTTGTGACAGTCACTGAATGGAATTTGAAATTAAATAGTTACTGAAAAGTAGGTTTTAGAGAAGATGTTTCTATTATTACAAAACAAGCATTTATTGTTTTTGTTTTAAGTTTAAGATTGTAAGTGATAACTATCAGCTGGAAATATTTATGATGATGTTAAAACTCCTAACATTTCCACATATGTTAGCATTGAATGAGACATTAAATGAATAACACTATTCTCATCAAAGTTTTGTGTTTGTTACAGACACTGTTTTTATTTCTTTACATCCAAACTGTCAGGTGCTTAAAGAGGTCCTAAATGGATGTATGTTTTAAGTTTTCTGCATTTTTACTGTGTATATGACAAATATTTGTAGTAGAATGAGTGTAAATGAATGTTGAATAAAACATGTACAGCTTTTTATTTGCTTGGTATGTGCTTACAACATCAAGAAAGAAGTGAGTTGAAACAAAATGCTAAACTTCCAACTCATTGTTCAGACTGTTATACAGATAAACTAAAGAAAACTCATTGCACACAGATTGAACCATTGGCCTGCTCAAAAACCAGGTAGGAGCAGTCCGTTAAAAATGTTAACTGTACAGTGTCTAACTATCTTAAAATAACAAGGAAATGAAAGCTAGGCTAGTTGGCCATATAAGATAATTTGTTGTAGATTGATTAGATTAATGCTTTTGTTATCTTACCCAGTCTCTAAAAACATAAAAATGTTACATTATAGCTCAGGCTTACTTTGAGGAACCTCAAAATGGGGTTTGATACAACAATTTAATTGAAGTTGTGGAATAAATATTATTAACTGCTTATAAAATTTAAGTTTTCCATGGCAGTTGTTTAAAATGATATTGATAATAGCCAAGGTTAATACACCTTAAGATTTGATTTACTGTAAAGAGAGAGAGAGTGTGTTTTCTTGTCCTCATAAGTCTTCCATGTGTTAAGTGGGAATAAAGTAGAAAACACTAAACACAATAAATGAATAATTTGATACTTTTCAAACACAGAAATAAGTTAATTGCAAACTTTTTGAACTATGAACCCAGAAGATTTAACTCGCACTGAATTCAAAATTTAATAAACAGTATTTTTTTTTAAATCTAATGATAAAGAAATGGAAATACTATAAATTGAGGAATACTAATAGATTGAGGTGCTGGACCAAGATACTTCATTTGTACACTAATATGATGGGTTGTAATCGATGGAACGCCCACTTATCTGAATACTCCATTGTTTATATGTAGCAACAAACAGATCATAAGAGAAATTAGACAAATTTTAGCAAACACGAGGTGTTTTTTTCCATCAAAGAACATTTTTAAGCATCTACAAAATTTGATAAATTGTGAGTAATTAAACAATGGAATACTTTTGTTGGGTGATTTGACAACATACAGAATGAAGTAACCATTATTTTATGCATGTTTATTTCAACCAAGAATTTCATTTGACTTTACTAAAAGTTAGTTATAATAGAATCTGAAAAAAAATTTATATACGTTTCTTGATTTTTCATTAGTGATGTAGACTTTTTAATCTCCAGTGTATAAAATACTGAAGGTAGGGACAAGTTTCCTTTTAAACTAACACTAAAGAATGAACAGGTGTATGATTTCCTTGACAAATTATTTTGGGTTGGGTCTTCGTGCTAGAATTATTATGTACTGTATTGTTTCTTATTGTTTTATTGAAACATTTGAAAAATCATAGTCTGTGACAAGATCACCTTAAAAGTTTGATGCGTGTCTATTTCACTGATGTATAACAACGACATTTTGCAAGTATACACCTGGAAAAAAGTTAAGCACCCCCGTGTTTTTTTCAAGTGATTCAGATTCGACTTTCTTGTGACTGATTATAAATTACCATTCAATCTAAACGTGTTTATCAAACGAAATTATGCATTATTGGGCACAATAAAACAAGATTATCTTCCTAAAATATCAATTTTAAATTTAATTAATATGTCATCAAAATATGGACAGTTTTCACACTTAAA